CTCACTGTGTTGCCCAGGCTGGAGTTCATTGCTGTGATCTCAGCTCCCTGCAACCTCTGCCTCCTGGGCTCAAGCGATTCTCCTGCCTCAGCGTCCTGAGTAACTGGGATTACAGGCATGCACCACCACACCCGGCTAATCTTTGTATTTTTAGTAGAGACGGGGTTTCACCATGTTGGCCAGGCTGGTCTCGAACTCCTGACCTTGGGTGATCCACTCACCTTGGCCTCCCAGAATACTGGAGTACTGGGATTACAGGCATGAGCCACTGCACCCAGCTTCAGCAGACTTTTCTAACAGGGTCTCCTGAGTGCTTTGCAGAGCACTGCTGGTTGCATTCACTGGACATTTTTTTTTTTTTTTTTTTTTTTTTAAGACAGGGTCTTGCTCTGTTGCCTAGGTTAGGGTGGAGTGGTGTGACTGTAGCTCAGTGCAGCCTCAAACTCCAGGGCTCAAGCAATCTTTTGCACCTCAGCATTCCAAGTAACTGGGACCATAGGCACGCCCGGCAAATTTTTTAATGTTTTGAAGAGAAGGTGGTCTCCCTATGTTGCCCAGGCTGGTCTTGAACTCCTAGCTTCAAGTGATCCTTCCACCTTGGCCTTCCCAAGTGCTGGGATTACAGGGATGAGCTACTGAGCCCAGCCAGGCCTCACTGGAGTTTTAAAAGTTGGATGGTAAACCTTGTGAATTAGATGTTCTAGTTCATCCTCCAGAAGGCAGAAACTTAAAATCATGCAAATTAGGTCAATTTGTAAGTTCATATGGACCAAGAAGAATCAGGGACAAAACTCCATGAAGACAGGTTTTGCTCTGACATCATGCTGCATGAGTAGCACGTTCTCCCCATGGTGAGCAGGTATGACTGTTTACGGCCAGCTTCTGATGGAAAGTTCCAAGGGTGAGGAGCTCCAGGGAGTGTCCATCATGGTGTAGCACACACGGTTCCCACATCCTTATTAGAATAAAAGGCACAAAAATAGCTTTCAAGGGATCTGTTGTGACTGGCGAGGCTTCGGGCACCAATCCCTTCGGTGATCCAGATAGAAACCCCAAAACCAAAAGCTCTGCATGCTCTCAGCTCACCTTCAGCAGGAGGGACACAGGGGTTTGCTTGGGGTCGCCGACAGGCTCACCCGATGGGCCTGCCCCCACCGCGTCTCTAGCCCGAGGCCCGGTCACTCCTGGAAAGGGCGTTCCTTCTGGTCACACTGTTGGTGGCAGCTTCATCCAGCGTGCTTTCATCTGATCCTCTGAGGGGGGAGGGCAGACAGAACTTTCCACAACATGAGAAAAGGCAATCTTCACATCAGAGGAGATTCTGTCTCCTGTCTCCAGTGTAGAACCTTTCGTCTCTAGGCTTCACGTAAACAAACCAGAAAAGACGACCTTGCTCCTCCCAAGTGACCCGGAATTCCAACCATCCGCACCTTTCCCTGAGTCCCTAGAAATGCAGCCACGCTGGGAGCCCACCCCGCTCCGGGGGTCTGCAGGCCTGGGCCTGGCTAGAGGCTCCAGGGCCACTCCAGTGTGTGACGAGAGGTGGTATACCCATGGCGAGGGGCCCAGAGGCAGGTGAGGGGGCAGTGGGTGTACCTGGGCACCAACGCAGGTCAAAGAAACCTCTGCCAGGCAGGGACCCTCCGTCAGGGCCACTTCTGCAGCAGCATTTTTCTTTTTACTCTTTTTTTTTAATTTTTAATTTTTTTTTTTTTTTTTTTTTTTTTTTTTTTTTTTGAGATGGAGTCTGGCTCTGTCGCCCAGGCTGGAGTGCAGTGGCCGGATCTCAGCTCACTGCAAGCTCCGCCTCCCGGGTTTACGCCATTCTCCTGCCTCAGCCTCCCGAGTAGCTGGGACTACAGGCGCCGCCACCACGCCCGGCTAGTTTTTTGTATTTTTTAGTAGAGACGGGGTTTCACCGTGTTAGCCAGGATAGTCTCGATCTCCTGACCTCGTGATCCACCTGCCTCAGCCTCCCAAAGTGCTAGGATTATAGGTGCGAGCCACCGCGCCCGGCCAATTCTAAATTTTTTTAAAGTGAAGGGATCTCACTGTGTTGCCCAGGCAGGTTTTTTTTTTTTTTTTTTTTTGAGACGGAGTCTCACTCTGTCACCCAGGCTGGAGTGCAGTGGCTGGATCTCAGCTCACTGTAAGCTCCGCCTCCCAGGTTTACGCCATTCTCCTGCCTCAGCCTCCTGAGTAGCTGGGACTACAGGCACCTGCCACCTCGTCCGGCTAGTTTTTTGTATTTTTTTAGTAGAGACGGGGTTTCACTGTGTTAGCCAGGATGGTCTCGATCTCCTAACCTCGTGATCCGCCCGCCTCGGCCTCCCAAAGTGCTGGGATTACAGGCTTGAGCCACTGCGCCCAGCCAAGGCTGGTCTTTTTAAACCCCTCGCTTCAACTGACCCTCCAGTCTTGGCTTCCCAAAGTGCCGGGATTACAGGCATGAGCCATTGTGCCCAGCCCTCCCACAGAATTTGGCCAAGGCTTTGCACCGAGAGGTGTCTAATATTTTTGTTGATTTGATTTCGTTGGATGCAGATCAGCTTAATGATGCAAGGGCTGTTGGTGGCCCCGCTCCTCTGCCCCTGCAAAGAGCTGCTGGCCAGTCTTGGTTGTGTCCTTTTTCAGGCCGTTAGTGACCATCTGCAAGGTTTTACCAGCATTTCGGGTTGACGCATGTGTCTTCTTAATTAACGTTGAAGTCCTAGCCCTTAAGACCTCAGAATGTTACAGTTGTTTGGAAACAGGGTGCTTGCAGAAGTCACTGGTTAAGATGAGGCAATACCTAACTATGACCGGTATCCTTATACAAGGGGGAGATGTGAACAGTGACAAAGGCTGGGAGAACACCGTGGAGATGAAGGCCGAGATCGTGGTGATGCTGCCAGAGCCAAGGACACCAGGATTGCTGGCAGCACTGGAAACTGGGGAGAGGCCTGAGACAGATGCTCCTCATAACCTCAGGAGGAACCTGCCTTGTTGAAACCCGGATCCCAGACTTCAGCTTCCAGAACTCTGGGAGGGACCAGAGTTTGTTTGTTTTTTGTTTTTTTTTTTTGAGACAGAGTCTTGCTCTGTTGCCTAGGCTGGAGTGCAGTGGCGCGATCTCAGCTCACTAAAAGCTCCGCCTCCCGGGTTCACACCATTCTCCTGCCTCAGCCTCCGGAGTAGTAGCTAGGACTACAGGTGCCCGCCACCACGCCCGGCTAATTTTTTGTATATTTAGTAGAGACGGGGTTTCACCAGGTTGGTCAGGCTGATCTCGAACACCTGACCTCAGGTGATCCACCTACCTCGGCCTCCCAAAGTTTTGGGATTACAGGGGTGAGCCACTGCACCTGGCTGATCATCTGTTTTTTTAAGCCACTCAGTCTGTGGTCTGTCAAGATAGCCCCAACAGACTCATCCAGCCAGCTTCAAGTGCTGCAGTGTTCCCAGCACAATCGATGGCTGTCCCTGACCACAAAGACCTCCCTGGTCAACTCTGTGTCTGTGTCCGGTCACATCCACTTGCTCATGTCCTGTAGTCCAAGCCCCACTTTGGACCTCCACTGGGGCTGTTGCAAAAGTAGGCAGCCAGCAATGAGGAGCCTGTTGGAACATGAGTTTTAAAAATTCCCTTGGCTGAGCGCGGTGGCTCATACCTGTAATCCCAGCACTTTCGGAGGCCAAGGTGGGCGAATCACGAGGTCAGCAGATCGAGACCATCCTGGCTAACACGGTGAAACCCCGTCTCTACTAAAAATACGAAAAAATTAGCCGGGCGTGATGGCGTGCACCTGTAGTCCCAGCTACTTGGGAGGCTGAGACAGGAGAATGGTGTGAACCCAGGAGGCGGAGCTCGCAGTGAGCTGAGACTGCGCCACTGCACTCCAGCCTGGGTGACAAAGCGAGACTCCATCTTTAAAAAAAAAAAAAAAAAAAATTAAATAAATAAATCCCTTGGCTGTGCTTCTAAAAGTAAGATCACAGAGGCAGGGCAGAGAGAGCACACCACCCAGGGTGTGATGGTCCCTGAACGTGGAGAGCTAACTGGACACCACCTTAAGTGTGAGTACATATGTCAAACCTGGAATGCAGAGACACCATGCAGGGTGAACCCATGAGTGTGTAGGGAACACCCTGCCCCTGCAGGGATGTGAGGCAGGGGAGCCAGGCATGTGGAGGAAGGGTCGCAGGACTGACTGAGCAGGAGCCTGAGGCACTGAGATCCCAGCCAAGGATGCCTGGGGGGTTTCTGAGCAGGAGGCAGCACCATCAGAGTAGTTTTTGTCGCTGTGTTAGCCAGGATGGTCTCGATCTCAAGACCTTGTGATCCACCCGCCTCAGGCATCAGAGTAGTTTTGGGAAAACTTGAGAGTGAGGCAAGCCACGCTAGAAGGTGAAAACTGACAGGCAGGGAGATGGAGGGGCTCAGACCTGTTTCCCCATGGCACGGTGGACCTGTGCTTCTGGAGATGTAGATGGGGTGGCCGCTGGGGCTCAGGCCTGCTTCCCCATGGCGCAGTGGACCTGTGCTTCTGCAGATGTGGAGGGGGTGGCCGACCCTCACTCTCCAGGAGGTAGAGAGCAAGCCCTTCCAATGACCTTGGTACCTACTTTGCCCTTGACCTCGCATTCCTAGCTATCTCATGGGCTCTGCACCAGTGCCTCCTCCCACCCTCGGTAAGGCACCTTCTAGGTCCAGCTGTGCGGCAGGGAGCGACAGGCAGGAATGATCTGACCCCTTTGGCCGGGCACAGTAACAGGTGGGCTGAAAGATGAGTCACTAAACATGATCTGGGGCGCAGGGCGGGGGTGCAGCTCAGTTTCAGCCCCTCGCGCCGGGGAGGATGACCGTGCAGCTTTATATAGCCCCTGAGCCCTATATAAGCAAGTCAGAGGCCGGGGCTCGTCCGACAGGAGCCCTCAAGCTGATCTGGTCGGGGCCGGACAACATTATTAACACCAGCGCAGTAGGGTCCCCAGGGGCAGCCTGCCCCACAGCGCCCAAGATGCCTAGCAGAACTGCCCGCTATGCCCGCTACAGCCCACGGCAGCGGCGGCGGCGGCGGATGCTGGCTGATCGCAGTGTGCGTTTCCCTAATGATGTTCTGTTCCTGGACCACATCCGTCAGGGTGACCTGGAGCAGGTGCGGCGTTTCATCCGGGCTCAGAAAGTGTCCCTGGCCACGATACATCCCTCAGGTGAGCAAGCCCCGGAAGAGCTGGCCAGGGGCTGTGGGGTGGTGGGGAAGCCAGCAAGGAGGACCCGACCTGAGGCTCAGTCTTGACTCCTCCCTTCCTCCCTGCCCAGGCCTGGCCGCCTTGCATGAAGCCGTGCTGTCTGGAAACCTGGAATGCGTGAAGCTGCTGGTCAAATACGGAGCAGACATTCACCAGCGAGATGAGGCGGGCTGGACACCCTTACACATTGCCTGCAGCGATGGGTACCCCGACATAGCCAGGTGAGGGGGCCTGGGTCTACACAGGGTTGAACTCGACCCCTCCAGGCCTCAGTGGGCCCCCAGGATGTGGGCTCCAAAATGTGGTCCTGGTGGTGTAGGCAAGAACCATACAGGCTGAGCACGGTGCCTCAGGCGTGTTATCCCAGCCCTTTGGGAGGCTGAGGTGGGCGGATCACCTGAGGTCATCAGGAGTTCATGACCAGCCTGGCCAACATGGAGAAACCCCTTCACTACTAAAAATACAAAACTAGCCGGGAGTGATGGCGCATGCCTGTAATCCCAGATACTCAAGGCTGAGGCAGGAGAATTGCTTGAACCCGGGAGGCGGAGGTTACCCTGAGTGGAGATCATGCCACTGCACTCCAGCCTGGGTGATAAGAGCGAAACTCTGTCTCTAAAAACAGCGGCAACAACAACAAAAAAACAACCCTACAAACCCTAAAAGCTTCTGGAATCCTGTTTCTGCCCTTGTCCTCAACAGCGCCAACTTGAAAAGCTGGCCACAGCTTCCAAAGGGTCAGGTTTCTTCCTCCTCACCCTACCCGGACCTTGAGACCTGAAGGTGGGGGACACACAGGTGACCCCAGAACTCTGGCCCTCTGACCTGGGTGGTGGCGAGCACTCTCCCGGCTCCTCCCCGCTTCAGCCAGGGTGACCTTTGCACCCCAGGTACCTTATCTCTCTGGGAGCGGACAGGGACGCAGCCAACGACGATGGCGACCTGCCCTCCGACCTCATCGACCCGGACTTCAAGGAGCTGGTGGAGCTCTTCAAAGGGGCCACGATGGACTGAGCCAGCTCTGCCCGCCCGCCCCCGCGCCCAGGGCCGCCTCCCTGGGGAAGCCGCGCGTCGCCCCGGGGCCAGCACGTGCCCCACCCGTGGGCCAGGGGCGGCCGGACCCGTCCCTCCACGACCCTGCCACCCCTCCTAGGCCTGGCTTTGTCTCCAGGTGAATTTTTTACTGTGACACTTTTTACTTTTTCAATAAACGTGACTCCCAGGTGAGGGGGCCTGGGTCTACACAGGTGGTGCTTGTGGTGGTGTCCTGATTACTGGGCTCCAGCCGCTGCCGCTGGCCAGCTGCGCTCACCGTCCAGGCCGGGCCGGCCCAGAGCTGCCGCCACGAGCCCCGACCCCGCCCGGGAATCCCGGCCGCCCCCGCCCTCCGCGTGCCGGGCGGTCACGTGGGAGCGCGCTGCGTCTGCGCCTGCGCAGCCGGCGGTGGCGTCACTTCCGGCGGGGCCTCCCAGCTGGAAGAGGCGGTGGCGGCGGGTCGGGGTGAGGTGAGGCGGGTGCGGCGCCGGGCGGCGGGGACGGGGCGGGGCGGGCGCGGCTGGGCCCCGCCCTGGTGTCGCCTGGCGGCCGCGGGTGCCCTGCAGGGCCGGGCGGGGCCGGGCGCGGGGGAGTGGCCGAGCGGCCGGGGTCCGAGGGAGGGGCCCGTGTTCCTTGCCCGGCACCTGCAGGAGGGCGCGGCCCGCGGGGCACTTGGGAACGCGCGTGGGGAGGGCGCGACTCGGACTGAGCGCCTTTCCCCCCGCAGGCCGGGGCAGGGGCCGGGGACCCAGCACGGCCGCACGCTCGCGGAGGGCCCGCCTTCTGCCACCGTCGGGGCTCTGGGGCTGACAGAGCCCCGCTTTCTCCCGGAGGAACCCTGCCTGAGGATGCCTCCGACTCTCGGAGCGCCGCGGGCCCGACCGTCCGCATTCTTCCGTCCATTTTCCGGCCTTGCCCGCTTTCCCGTCTACCCAGGCAGTGGTGCTGGGCCTAACGGGGAGAACGGGGCCTCCGCCTGCCTTCGAGGCACTCACTGGGCGGTGGTTGTGACCGCGGGGGCGGCAGCCACACGGGGCACGGGCTGTGCTTCTCTCCGTCCTGCCCCAGAGTAGCCTACCGTCGCAGAAAGGTGGTCTTTGAGCTGGACCCCCAAGGATGAGTAGGATAGTTTTGGGCAGAGAACACAGCTTGACCAAAGGCCTTGAGGTGTAAACGGGGACCAGTGAATGGACTTCGGGTGGGATGTGGCGAGAACATGTAGAGAGGGTGGGAGGTGGGACGTGAAGAAGAGCCAACTCTTCCTGAAAGACGGGGCTGGATCTGGGGCGAGTCAGGGGCAGTTGTGGTTTGAGTGGGATCAGGATGGGGAGGAGGGCGCACATGCTTAGTCTGTTGCTGCCACCACCCGGGGGAGAGGGTGAGGAGGTGGGGCAACACTTAGAGGCTTTCTCCGGGGGTCTTCACGGAACCACGAGGTGCCAGTGTATCAGCTGTGACAGCGGTATCCTTGTGCGCCTGCTTGGGTAGTAGATCATATTCTAGCCTGATTGGCTGAAAAAGACACAGAACACGAAGAGAAAGTGGAGTCTTAGAAACTTTGAATCTCAGAAACTCCAGAGGAGCACAGAATAGCGATGGCGTCAGTGATTCTAACTCTGGAACCTCACAATATTGTCACGTTGCTGGAGTGTTACCTCATGTCCTGTTCTTAGGCATGTGGCTGTGTGGGGGAAAGAATTTGAGACTGGGAGGCCAGAGACTGGGGTTCTGTCCCCTCCCCACCAGGAAGTCTCTGAAGCCCTTGGGTCCCCTGGAGGAGGAAGGTTCTATATAGTTCTACCCAATAAGACTCCCCTCCCTATCTGGAGGGAGGGCCAGTCTCTGAGCAAAGCCACACGGGTATCAGTGGGGAATGGGGCTTTCAGGGAGTCCAGAAATCTGCGGTGAGGTGCAGGCAGAGTGGAGGCAGGCTTTGGGGAGGCTGAGGCCAGGCCCCAACTGCTGTAGCCCTGGAGGCCCTGGCAGGGGCCCTGCTGCTTGGTGGCAGGCTCCTTCAGCGCCGAACTGGGTCTCAGGGTGTCTTTCTGGCCCATCTGTGGGGACGTGGGCAGTGAGTGTAAGGGCCCAGTGTGGTGGCTGCCCTGCCCTTAGTCTCTGACAAGTGTTTGCGTGGCCGGTGGCAGTCTCTTTCCGTCCCCAGTGCTTTTCTGTGCCTCCACCTCCCTAAGAGTGGGGTGACTCTACATTCCAGTTTTCCCAGAAGAGTTGTTTCATGCTTAATGATCAACAGCATCCCTTTCATTCTTTTTTTTTTTTTTTTTTGAAATGGAGTCTTGCTCTGTCTCTGTCTTCCAAACTGGAGTGCAGTGGCATGATCTCCCCTCACTGCAACCTCCGCCTCCCGGGTTTAAAGTGATGCACGTGCCTCAGACTCCTGAGAAGCTGGGATTACAGGTGCATACCACCATGCCTGGCTAACCTTTTTTTTTTTTTTTTGAGATACAGTCTCGCTCTGTTGCCCAGACTGGAGTGCAGTGGCGTGATCTCGGCTCACTGTAACCTCCGCTTCCTGGGTTCAAGTGATTCTCCTGCCTCAGCTTCCCAAATAGCTGGGACTACAGGCATGTGCTACCACGCCCAGCTAATTTTTGTATTATTTAGTAGAGATGGGGTTTCACTGTATGTTGGCCAGGCTGGTCTCGAACTCTTGACCTCAGGTGATCCGCCCACCTCGGCCCCCCAAAGTGCTGGAATTACAAGCTGAGCCACTGCACCCTGCCTAATTTTTTTTTTTTCTTTTTTAGTAGCGATGGGGTTTCACCATGTTGGCCAGGCTGGTCTCAAACGCCTAACCTCCGGTAATCTGCCCACTTCAGCCTCCCAGAGTGCTGGGATTGCGGGCATGAGTCACCGCACCTGGTAGAGATGGGGCTCATTCTATGTTGCCCAGGCCGGTCTTGAACTCCTGGCCTCCCAAAGTGCTAGGATTACTACCACACCTAGCCCCTTTCTTTTTTCTTTTTCTTTTTCTTTTTTTTTTTTTTGAGACGAAGTCTCACTCTTTTACCCCAGGCTGGAGTGCAGTGGCGCGATCTCGGCTCACTGCAACCTCTGCCTCCAGGGTTCAAGCGATTCTCCTGCCTCAGCCTCCCGAGTAGCTGGGATTACAGGCGCCTGCCACCACGCCTGGCTAATTTTTGTATTTTTAGTTGACATGGGGTTCCTCCGTGTTGGCCAGGCTGGTCTCGAACTCCTGACCTCAGGTGATCCGTCCGCCTCAGCCTCCCAAAGTGCTGGGATTACAGGTGTGAGCCACCAGAATCTGTCGCCCAGGCTGGAGTGCAGTGGCACGATGTCGGCTCACTGCAAGCTCCACCTTCTGGGTTCACGCCATTCTCCTGCCTCAGCCTCCTGAGTAGCTGGGACTATAGGCGTCCACCACCACGCCTGGCTAATTTTTTGTATTTTTAGTAGAGACGGGGTTTCATTGTGTTAGCCAGGATGGTCTCGATCTCCTGACCTTGTGATTCGCCTGCCTCGGCCTCCCAAAGTGCTGGGATTACAGGCATGAGCCACTGCGCCTGGCCCCTTTCATTCTTAACATCATCCAGTTGAACGATGTGGCACATGCTTGTCCTGTCCATTATTGTATTGGATAAGGAGCCACAGAGACCTCACTGAGCTGCTCGCTTCCCATGGCTGTGCTTCTGTCCCTATTGGAGCAGGCGAGCATCCCTGTGGGCTGCATCACTTTGAATGAGGATGCGGAGGCTCAGAGGAGCTTTCCTGGGGCCCCAGAGTAGGGTCATACCTGCAGCCCAGTAGGCCAGGCCCTGTAGGCTGGACAGCCACAGAAGTAGGCGGTCAGGCCCTGCAGAATGCACAGACCTGCAGGTCGCCTGCACTCTGGGTGGCTGGTGGCAGGTGGTCCTGTGGCAAAGGCTGTTGGGGCAGGAGTGGAGCAGCAGGTGACACCTGATGAAACAAGTTGGGGCTGGACAGTGGGCTTGGTGGCAGCAGAGGGCCTGGGTGACACCCTAGTGGTAAATGACTTGGGGAAAGGGTGTCAGGAAGATCATGTAGACATCTGTGTCCACCCGTGCTGACACTGGGGGTCTGGAACCGGAGGTTATTCTAGCCCTGGGTGGGGTGGGGTGGAGTGGCATGGGGTGTGGAAGACTTTGAGGGGAAGGGGAGAAAGTACCTAAATATTATGTAGCTTGAGGGGCTCTGGAAGGATGGTCCTGGGCCAGGAGAGTGTCATCAAGGGTCCTCCCATGTGAGACCCCAGCCATTATGAGCTGCGCTATATTTCACAGTACACTGAGAAAGAAAAACCGCCATTGGTTAAACTCAAGACGTGTTAGCAATCGTCAGGTACAACCCAGTTTCAAAGATATTAAAATATGAAAACTATGAAGGAAAACTCTCAGAGGCAGTGGGGTGTGGTGTAGCGACTGAGGAGTACAGGGCTGTGGCCGGGACATCGGCACGCTTGGTCTTCATTCTGACTGAAAGAGGGAAGGAGAACGGGACTGAGGCATTGCCTGACCCTCCCTCGCTGCTCTCACCCTGGTGGTGGCCCAGGTGGGATGAAGGCTGGGGGGCTGGGCTGGGTAGAGTCTCGAGACCTCTGAAGTGGGGCTGTCTCTCTGGGTTGAATGGAGCCCCCTCCCTCCCACCCTTCACCTATGGTCAGCCTCGGTCAGGCCACCACTCCCCTTTACCTGGGCAGCTGAGCAACAGGTCAGTGTCCTGCTGGCTTAGGGGCCGCCACCTCAGGTGGCCATCTGCTGTGTGCTAAGTCTTTTCAGGCTGTCCCCGGCGCTTCTCTGGGCCTGTTCCTTTGTCCCCTGCTCACTCTCACCCACTGTGGTCCTGGGTCCCGCCACATCCACCATCTCAGGGATGCATGCATGTTGTGCCTCAGGGTTCCCTCTGCTTAGCCAGACACCAGCCTCTGCCCACTGGGCCTGAGCTAGGGCTGAGCTGCCTGCCAGCCACACTTCCTGCCCTCCCCTCTCAGCTCCCCACCTCAGCTCCTTCCTGCCCTCACAGACACCGTCCTGGTCCTGGCTCCGGTTTTGTCTGTGCCTCGGCCCTTTCCAGCTTCCTCCCGTGCTGTGTGTCTCAGGGCCTGTCTGTGGCCCCT